CATTCAAAACTGCTGGGACAAGACAGCCTTGCAGACAACAGCCAGGATTTCTGCATCTTCTTAGGATTCCCATAGGTATTACATTGTCCCCATCCAGCAAGAAGTAGTTTGGAAAGAACAACACCCAAATTCTCAAATATTGTCTATAAATGTTTGTTTTCATTTAAATGGGGTTGGTTATAAATGATTAATGACCAGAACCAATCTCTTTTAAAGGTCAAAAGGGGGATTATAGTATAGGATGAATACTTTGTTTTGGAATGGATTTTCAGTTATTAATACAAATTAAGGTCAATTTTTCGATAAGTATATTTCTCCTTTTATTTATGTATTGTGTTTACATAGCTCATTTAAAAATGTAACGTATAACTCCACTCACTGAACAACTTTCAACTGCCCTATAAAAGGCTGTTTTGTATCCATCAATGCCCTGGCATACACATGCCACACCATTAATTAAGTAAAGATTGTAGACAGTTACCTATGACTGTCAAAGCTTATACTTAGGTTGATTAGGTTTTCTAGATATATAGACATATATTTCAGTTGGATAGGCATTCTCCAAACCTTTCAAAGACCTACAGAATATGGCATTTAAAATCATTTAGGGTTTTTATTGACAGTGAGGCACAACTGCTCCTGGCAACACCACCTGCGTCAAAAAGGAAGATGGACATTGAAGAAACGCGTTATGGAGTATGCTTTCAATATGGCAAGACTAGCCATTTGGGCAAGTTACTGCTCGTCTTGACTGTTTGATGTTATGCTGTATAAACTGGACATGCAGCACTCACAGAAAAGTGACTGCTGATTCAAGATGGACATTGCTACAGAGATCCTGCTTCATGGAAGAGTCTGCCAGACAGTCTGCAGGACACAGAGAAAAGTGACTGACAAACTGCCAATACAAGAAGACAGTTTAAAGTTTCCTGCTTTGCTGAGGAGTCTGCCAGACTTTTATCTGCTAAACAACATTGCTAAAATGAAAGCCACGGCTGGCTTATGGGCTGGAGATTGAAGATTACAGAAGAACTCTGTTTGACTGTCCAGGCAGTGAATTGTCTCTGTAAGATAAGACCACATGGAAACACTTAGATTGATAGAAATGGGTTAACATTTAATATTTAAGACAGGGCAAGCCCATAGGAAGCTCTAGCCATTGGCCAACAGCTTCATAATTAATAGAGTGTTATTTTGTGACTAAAGCAGCTCTGGGACTAAAGCCGGTAGGAAACTGCTGGTAACACCCCAGAGTCAGTGTGATGGAAATGTCAACTCCACTCACTGTCAATGCCCTGGCATTCCACACGTCACACTACATGTCCCACAGTCCAGTCTCTCAATTCTCAGAAACAGATTTCCTTTCAGAGGCCATGGAAACCAGCACACTCTGAGTGACCCCATCTAGAATGACAGCCATTGTTAGTAGAAAAAGGAAAAACACACCCACCAAAGGCCTCGCATTTCAATGTATTCCACAGTGTGCCCTTCAATGCTGGATTCTCTGTTGCTTCTTGCTGTGTACTTGTACTATCCGAGTCTCATGGGTGCTGAGGGTGCTGAGGGATTTCCAACCCCTACTCCTCCTTCCCACAAAAATAGCCCCTTTATTAGTTTCCTTCCCGTGAGCCCCCACGATGAGCAAGGTCCAGGCAGGCAGCACAGGTAGCATGAGCATAAAAGCAAGGAATAATTGATATAAAACGTAAAGTGTCAGGTAGTTTATGGCTCTTACGCTGATGAACTCTTCTGAACTAATTTAATTTCGCCAGCTTTGTCAGAACACGGGGACAGATTGTTTTCCATTTGGGAAAAAAAAAAAAAATCCCTACACACGAGGCCGACAATAAATCCAGGAGGAGTGAGGCCCCTCGGAGTGTGGTCCAAGAGGAGCAGCAGTGGTAGCTGTGAACACTACTACACATACAAGCTAGCCACGCCCCCTCGCCGTGAACTTCAGTGCTGTTACTACTCCCCTATAAACAAAGCACAGACAGGACCCAAGTGTAAGCTTACAGCTGCGCAAACAAGAAGAAAGTAAACAGTCAGGCTTCGTGTGTGATGAACACTTCCTGCTGCTGCTGCCATGGGAACCCAACACCACAGATGGTGTGTGTGGATGACCTTAACAACAGGGGACTAATATTTGCACTAAGAACTTAACTTGGGCACTGTGTGAGTACATCCTCACAACTGCTCTGCTTTCCTCGTCTCTGATTCAGAAAACAAGAGGGTCAGGCTTAAAAGGGTGGAGGGTTATGAGCTCTTGCTCCTCTTCCAGAGGCCCGGAGTTTGGTTTCCAGCACCCACATCAGGTGGCTCACGAGGGTCTGTAAGGCCAGCTCCAGGGGATCCAATGCCTCTGCCTTCCAAATGTCACATGCGCTCATTTGCATGTGTCCCAGCACACCCACACTTAAAATAAAAACAAATCATTAAAAGAAAAAAATGAGGCTTGGGAAAGTTAGTGTATGCAGCATTTGAACCAGATATGCCTGACTCTGGGACAGGTGTATTCTATGTCAACTCCTCCAGCACACCTGCTAACTAACACAACTGCTTTTGTGAGCTTTAAAAGACGCTTGTGGGGCCTGGAACAATGGCTCAGCTGTTAAGGACACTTCCTGTTCTTGTAGGGGACTCGGGGTTTGGTTCCCAGAACCCACACGATGGCTAACAATCTTCCTGCCCCAGTTCCAGGGGACCCGACGCCCTCTTCCAATCTCCACTGGCACCAGATGCGCATGTGGTACACACACACACACACACACCAAGGGAAAGGCATGTATCAAAACAGCCTGGGAGATGTTAAACCATCACTGGTTGATATCACAGCCCAGGGTGTACAGACATTCTTTAGGAAACAGGCAATCGCAACATTCCTGGTACAGGAGGCGCTCCTGCCCTCATCTTCCCATGAGTCCACGGTCCTGCCCCAATTCTAAATGATATTCTCGTGATTTGACCCAGACTGTCAGAAGTGTGATAAAGCAGAGGAGACTCTGAGGAGCAGGACGTCGCGGTCCAGCTGCCAGTATCGTAGGTAGAACAGAAAATCTGCGAGCTGAAGGGGACTTCCTAGGTCCTGAGCCTGAGGGCAGGTAAAGAGGCTGAGGCCACGCAGCACAGGGAACAGCAGCCCGGGAGCTAAAACGTGCATGGATGTACTGACAGCACCGAGCGACCACATCTCCCCATGGGAGCGGCAAGCCCGTGAGGGCTGGAGAGGGAAGCAGCAGGGTAAAGGCAAGGGCGCCGATTAGCCTGGCAGATCCAGAGCTTTGGGGTTGTGCAGATTGTCCTAGGTGCCTGGCATCGCCCCTTACATCCCAAATCAAAGACGGCGCTTCAGCCTGCTCCCCCATAAACAATGCAGCAGCTCCAGGAACCAAGCCTCTGGCGTCCAGGACTCGCGCCTTGGGTACCCGGGCGCGAGAGAGCACAGCGAGAGACGGTGCCCGGGACACCTGCCCAAAAGCCAAAAGCCAGGACGAGCTCAGCGCCCGAATCGTGCGCGCCCAGGGGCAGGACTGGCCCACGCACATGCACACGCACGGGAGCGCAGGCTCCCGCGCTCCCGATGCAGTGTCGAGGCCGGGCGCTGGCGGGAGCCCAGGAGTCGGGAGCTGCAGGCGGGGCGGGTGCCCGAGGACTGAGCTCGAGCATTCGCTCCCCGGCGGCCCAAGCCCCGCCCCGGCCCCGCCCCATCCCTTCTCCCGCGCGCGGGCTCCGCGCGCCCCATGACGCGCGCGTGCGCGCGCGTGCGCAGGCCAGGGCCCTCCGCGGGCGGCCCCGTAGAGCCGAGGGGAGCGTCCACCCGTAAGGTCCCAGATTAACCCTTTCGCTGCTCGCTCCCTGGAAGAGGCCCGATCGGGTTCCGTGCCTGCGCAAGCGGCGGCGCGCCTTCTCCCCCCCCTCCAGCCCGCACCGCGCATGCACGGGGAGGGGGGGTGGTGGGGGTGTTCGCGGCAGGCTAGATATTCTGTGCTCGTGCAGGAGGAGGGCTGCTACCACCAGGGACGTGCACGACTCCCCCCGCCCCACCCCCTCCCCAAACTCCAAAAAAAAAAAAAAAAAAAAAAAAAAAAAAAAATCCAAAACACTGCCTGCCACCCACCGTGCCCCCGCGTCCATCCCGTCCCGGCCTGCGCGCTGCCGACCGCGGGAGCCCACGGCGAGCGTCTGTGGCTGTGCCAGGCTGCAGGTAAGCGCGGGCCGGGTGCTGAAAGGGCCGGGGCGGGCGCGGGGACGCGGGGGCAGCCGGCGGCGGGCGCGGCGGGGCGGCTGGGAGGAGGCGCGTTCCCGCCGAGCTCGGGCAGCAGCCAGCTGCAGGATGTGGCGGCGCAGCGCGGTGCGAGCGGGATCGGGCGTGGGCCGCGGTTGGGCGTGGGGGCCGGGCGCCCCGGGGGCCGCGCAGGCCGGCGAGCGGGTGGGGAGAGGCCAGGCGGCGGCCCGCGCGCGCGCTCGCTCGCTCCCTCCCTCGCTGCTCGCTCTCTCGCTCGCTGCTCGCCGGCTCGGCGGCCGGCCGAGTTCATGGCCGCCCCGCTCCCGGCGCCGCAGTGCACCGCGGTGGGGGTGGGGACGCCCGAGCCGGGCCCGAGCGCGGCCCGCGGGGCGCCGCCCCTTGCAGCTGCGCCCCCCGCCCCTGACCCCCACTCCCACCCCGGAGCCCACGGGGGCCCCGGCGCACGCTCCCCCGCCTGCGTCCGCGGAGCTCCGGGGAGCCGGCCGCGCGCCGCCCCCGCCCCTGGCCGCGGGAGGGCGCGGGAGGAGCAGACGCGCAGGCCGCGGAGTGCGCGGGGCGCGAGCTCGGGGCTCGCGGGCGGAGCAGAGCGGAGCAGGGCGCGGCGCGGCGCAACGCGGGGCTGCGGAACCGGCCGCATGCCCGCTCCCGTGCTCGCCGCGCCGCCGCCGGGGCTGCCGCGGGCCGAGGGAGAGCCCGGCTGCCGCGCCGCCGCCTGGAGAAGGGGCGCATCGCGGAAGGGACGGTGGCCCGGCGCCGCGCACGGGAGCTTTTGTTTGGCAAAGAATGCTAAGGGCTCGCTGCGCTCGGCGGCGGCTCCCGGGCTGCGGGATGCGGGCGTGGGGCCCCCACGCGCGCACTGCGCCCCGGCTCTCGCGCCCGGCCCAGCCTAAGCCCACTCCCAGGTTGTGCGGTCGCAACGGGGAAGTGGTGCGGCCGCCATTGTCGCAGCTGCTCCGGAATAAGGAGGCGGCTGCGGCTGCTTATGTAAGTTCGCTCCGGGAAAGCCCGGCTCCCGAGATTCCTGTCCGGGAGAGCTGATAGCAAGGAGCTGCTGCTGCTTTGTGGCGTTGTGGGTGTTTGGACTACGTCTTTCTTGTCCCACACCTCCTTACACGCATGCAGGCAATGGCTATCTTCCGGTTTGGCTCATTTGAACTTAGCAGCAATGGGAACATCTCTATAGGGGGAAAAAAGCCGAGCCGATTGGCCCACGACCTCCTATTAAAAAAAAAAAAAAATACACACTAAGCAGAAACGATAAGCTGCACGATGATATGTTGCCATGGCTACTGTAGGGCCACTCTTCTCCAAGTACCATGCCCCCCCTCCTTTTTTTTTCTTTGATTCCTCGGTTAGTGACAGCAGAAGTGTCACCAAAAGGTTCAGAAGGGAATACCCTCCCTCAGGCGGGTTGCAGGCCCAGGCTGCAGGAAGGCCCGGGATGAAGTACGGAGCATCCTTAGAAATCCTCTTACCAGCCCTCACACAGTACACACGAGAAACCCTGCTAGGTCAGAGCTCTGTGGTTCCTACCGAGGGAACTCGAGTCTTTGTGTGACGCTGGACTCTAGTGCACGCAGCCACCTGCTTCTGCTGACTTCTGTAATTGTGGGGTCAGTGCAGGGCATTTTCGTTCTTAGTATATTTGGTCTGCAGGACATAGAACTCTTTAGGTGAGTGTTAAGAATCAAAGAAAATTCTTTGAGCCTTCGTATAGGAAGGGATAGAGGAGAAATTGGAATTTCTCCGCCGCAGTCTTGCGGACAGTTTGTAGTTGTATGAACAGAGTAGCGTGTTTACTCCTTCCCAACCCTCTTCTAACTGTTGGATGTGTGTGTGCGCGCTCCTGCAGCCTTCGCTGTCTTTAGAGAAGCATGCATCTAGACGTTTACAGGTCCTAAAGGAAAAAGTGGAGAACTAGGTACCCAACAGGAAATGGTGGGGGGTGAGGAACACTGTGATATTTTCCGGATCTGTGACACCTGCCACATTTCTGGTCCTTGTGAAGAGCCAGGCAGGATTTCTGCTGGCTTCCCTGTTTTCACCCAGAAAAGTGGGTTCATATGCAAGAGGAAAAATGATAAAGGGTCTGTGGTGTTTGGTTTTTTGTTCTTCTGAACACTTGGTTTAGAATTTGTGGAAGAGAAAAATCTCACTTAGTCTTTATCTTCTTTCCTCCCCTGGTTAGATCTGGCTTGCCCCTGATCAGACTTAGTCTGATCTGAAGATATTGGAGTTTAAGGCATTAAGAAAATAGCCTGAATTGTTCATGGTAAGTATATCTTAGGGTATTAAGGAGTAGAATATTATGTGAAATTTGATTAAAAAGAAACAAGTATCTCTGGTCTGGGGTAGTATACTAGGTTTAAGCAGGTCCCCGATCCCTACTGTACACACACATACACACACACACACACACACACACACACACACACACTCTAGTTATACATTTACAGTTCTGTTTTCCTCAGGCTTCTTTATTGAGTAAAAGTAATACATTTTAAAGTAGAAAGTGGAAAGCACATTGTTGTTAGATCAATTCTTGAACACAATGGTAGGTCTTTCGTGATGGTTCTGAAATTCTTTTGCTTTTGAAAGACTCCAACATTTATGGAGTGCAGGTTGAACCTCCATAAGTCCAAAATATTCAGACTCTTAAACTTTGTGAAGACTGATAAGAAGCCATAACTGAAAATCCTGTACTGTGAAGCCTATTTGAGCCAGGCAGCGGTGGTACACACCTTTAATCGCAGCACTCAGAAGGCAGAGGCCATCGTGGTCGACAGAGTGAGTTCCAGGACAGCTGGGGCTACACAGAGAAACCCTGTCTCAGAAAACCATAGAAAGGGGAAAAAAATGGAAATAAATAAAATATTGAAATACTACATAAATTACCGTCTTGCTATATGGATAAGGTATATATAAAATGTCAACTAGTTTTATTTAGGCTTGGACTGCCATCTCCAACTTATTTCCTGGCGTACATGCACCTACTTCAAAATCTGAAAAAAATCTAAAACTGGACACTTCTGGTCCCAAGCATCCCAGAGAAAGGGTACTTAATGTCTGTTGTTGATGAGACTTAACTGGATGGCTGGAAGGTTGACATCCTGTGATGTGAAACCAGTCATCAGATGTCTTTGGGGTTAGGATTGACCCAACGCTGCTATGGAGAGACTAGAAGACGATACAGGCTGTTGTGGTTACGATGCCCTCTCTAGTCCTTCAGTGGTGGCTGGCTCTTCTCTCAAGGAAATGTCATGCCCAGCCCTGATATTATTTTCCTGGATCCTCCATACCTGAAGTTAGAGGTCACAGATAGGTCTTGTGGGTTTTTTATTTTCTCCTGTGTTTGTGCCGTGTACCCTGTCTGCATGGGTGCTAGCACGTGTTCATAAGTAAGGACATTCCTGCGGAGATCCGAGGCCACACGGTGGGAGGCTTCCTTGGTTCAACCTGGAGTTAGTTCACCGTTCAGCTAGTAGAGCTAGCCGGCCAGCTTTGTTCCAGAATTCACTCGTACCTTCTTGGAATCAGAAGTGACCACCAGGTGCCCACTGCATTTACGCTGGTGCTGGGGGCCCACTTGAGCAAGAGCTTGTACCCAATGAGGTCTCCAGCTCCAGGACTACAGGATTCTTGTCTCTCAACCCTGTAACTTTGAGGTCGGGCTGTTTATCGGCCAGTCCTCTGCCTTGACAGTCTGACTGCCTGTGTTTTTAAATCACGTTTCCTGGATTTGAGCTATAGGAGGTTGAGCAGCTTCCTAACCCCTTTTTGTAAACTGAGAAAACACCTACTTCATATGATGGTTTGTAACCGGGTGTATTGAGACATCTAAGACATAGAGTAATGCCTGGTGTGTGTTTCGTAAAAGCTGCCGTTATTAGTATAACAAGGAAACTGTTAACAAACTGAAAGTACTTCGAAATAGCAATATGGAAATCTCCTGTCTGGGATTATTCTTTTCTGCCTGTTTTGGAGCTGTCTTTAACATGCAGTTTCTAAATTGTTAGGTTCTGAATATGGATTGTATGACTGGGTTATTGTTTGTTTTGTTTTGGTATTGGGAGTACTACACCGTAACTATACTTTGGATTTTTTATTTATTTATTTTTTTGCAGGAGTTTTTCATCAGTATGTCTGAAACCATAAAATATAATGACGATGATCATAAAACACTGTTTCTGAAAACGCTGAATGAGCAGCGCCTGGAAGGAGAATTTTGTGACATCGCCATCGTGGTTGAAGATGTGAAGTTCAGGGCCCACAGGTGTGTCCTCGCGGCCTGCAGCACATACTTCAAGAAGCTTTTCAAGAAGCTGGAGGTGGACAGCTCCTCGGTCATAGAGATCGACTTTCTCCGCTCGGACATCTTTGAAGAAGTCCTGAACTACATGTACACTGCCAAGATCTCGGTCAAGAAGGAGGATGTCAACTTGATGATGTCGTCGGGTCAGATCCTGGGCATCCGCTTTTTGGATAAACTCTGTTCCCAGAAGCGTGACGTGTCCAGTCCCGATGAAAATAACGGCCAGTCGAAGAGCAAGTACTGCCTGAAATTAAACCGCCCCATCGGGGATGCAGCCGACACCCAGGACGACGATGTGGAGGAGATCGGGGACCAGGATGACAGCCCTTCGGACGACACGGTAGAAGGCACTCCCCCGAGTCAGGAGGACGGCAAGTCTCCCACAACCACCCTCAGGGTGCAGGAAGCAATTCTGAAGGAGCTGGGGAGCGAGGAGGTGCGCAAAGTGAACTGCTATGGCCAGGAGGTGGAGTCCATGGAGACGCCCGAGTCCAAAGATCTGGGGTCCCAGACCCCTCAAGCCTTAACCTTCAACGACGGGATGGGCGAGGTGAAGGATGAGCAGACCCCGGGCTGGACCACAGCTGCCAGTGACATGAAGTTCGAGTACCTGCTCTACGGCCACCACCGGGAGCAGATCGCCTGCCAGGCGTGCGGCAAGACGTTCTCGGACGAGGGCAGGCTTAGGAAGCACGAGAAGCTGCACACGGCGGACAGGCCGTTCGTTTGTGAAATGTGCACCAAGGGCTTCACCACTCAGGCCCACCTGAAAGAACACCTGAAAATCCACACCGGGTACAAGCCCTACAGCTGTGAGGTGTGTGGGAAGTCGTTTATCCGCGCCCCGGACCTGAAGAAGCACGAGCGGGTGCACAGCAACGAGCGGCCCTTCGCGTGCCACATGTGTGACAAGGCCTTCAAGCACAAGTCTCACCTCAAGGACCACGAACGGAGGCACCGGGGGGAGAAGCCCTTCGTGTGCGGCTCCTGCACCAAGGCCTTTGCCAAGGCCTCGGATCTCAAGAGGCACGAGAACAATATGCACAGCGAGAGGAAGCAGGTCACGCCCAGCGCCATCCAGAGCGAGACAGAACAGTTGCAGGCGGCAGCGATGGCCGCAGAGGCAGAGCAGCAGCTAGAGACCATCGCCTGCAGCTAGAGGGGACGGACGGACGGACGGGGTCGGGGGACGGACGCTTGGCCTGGGAGGTCGATGCCAAGGTTGCATTGATCGTAACCTGTCGCCACCTTTGACTGCTTCTGTGTTGCACTGGCTGGACCCAAGGCAGAGCCCGTGTCGGTTAGTTACTTTTCAGATTTCTCAAGGCAGTTACGTTCCCACGTTCTGACCAAACGTTGGTGTTTTTGAGGGGGGTTTTGTTTTCTTTTTTTTTTTTTTTTTGTGGTGTCTAGTATTCATGTTCCCCGTAAGCTTCCCCTCCCTTCCCTGTGGTTTTAATTTGAAAGCTCCTCTGTCCGGTTTAAAGTGAGCGGCTTCTGTCCCAAGCTTGATTCCTCCACACTTGCAAATCGGGTGAGCGCGTCGAAGAGTAATTGGAAAAACAACTGATTTCCTCATCGTCCCAGTATATGTGACTTCCGGTCAAAACAGCAGTCCTTAGTAACTGGATACAAGAACTTCATATCCATGCAGAAATCGCAGGCACAGGCTGACCCAGGACACTGTATAAATACGAAACCAAGTTTGGAAACGCGGGATGGTGTTAGTTTTGTGTTTTCCTTCTGTTGATTTTTAAATATCTCTATCATTGTTTTTACTGTCTTCTGTGGACAGTGAATGGTTGCTTTGCTGAAGTGTTTCCTCGCCCTTGGATGATGTCCCCTGTACCCACCCCAAATGCCGCAGGTCTCGTGTGCCTCAGGGTGAGTGAAACCACTGGATGCTGGCAGTGCTGGAACTGAGTTCCGCCTTTGTCCAGTGTGGCCACTCTCCCCGAGGGTGTCTGTGGAGTGAACCAGTAGTGAGCAGAAGGGGAAAGTGACCAAGACAAGGTTTTCACAGATGACAGGAACCCTAAGATTTCCAAACCTAGGTCTTCAAATCCTGGCTGATTGCAGAATTGGTTTTGTATTTAAGATCAAAATGAAGACCAGAACCAGAAGTGATTCTTGAGATGATTTCGTAGTTGACGGGCGATCAAGCTTTGGGGCTGTCTGCCGCACTCCGTTGCTCACAAAGAAGATGCTGACATGAATTTGAGGTCTTTCAAATGTGTAAATAGCGGTGTCGGTCCTACGTGTTTCAAGGAAAAGAAGGACAGCTGCACTTTTTTGTTGTTGTTGTTTATTTTGGTTTTTCTTTTTGCACATTGGATTAAAGTACCTTTCATTGGCAACACACGTCAGACTGTCTTAACCAATATTGGAGATCATCAGACCCAACGTTTATGTTTTCCAAGTATGTTTTATCACTGGCTGCAGTTTTCAGTAGAAGCTGAGACTGCCTTTTCGTAGCCGTAAATCAGAATTATGAACTTTGTTTCAGATCCGGCATACTAAATGTGCTTTTAACGATTTCCTTAGGAGTATATTGAAACGCCAGCGGACTTTGAATTTCGTTCTGTGAGAGAGTGTTAGACGACTGTTTTAGGGTATGTACAGTTGTAGAAAGTGCCAACTTTTAAAGGTCATGTTTGGTTCTTAAGATTTTCTTTAAAAAAAAAATAACATTAAAATGATTTTCATTACATGGCTTGCTGTATTATCACCTGTTACTGCTATTGTGAGAAAATTTTTTATTTTCAGAATTGGTGTACGTGTGTGATATGCCCAAGATTGTCAGGTGGGGATGCTACCTTTCAAATTTTTCTTATTTATCGGTAAGATGTTTTGGTTTAAAATTGATTTTTTTTCCTGAAAGCCCTTTTTCTGTATCGGAGGCAGTCCCGTCGGTGTGTTTCTGCGCTGTAAGGAGGGGGGTCTGGCTGCTGTTCCCAGGCTGTGTTGACCAAAGCAAACGTGACATCAGCTGACATTCTGTTGATAGGTACTTCAACAAACCATATTTTGGGCCTTTGTTTTTGTATATAAAGAAAGTAATACACTTGTCTCCTTCTCGATTGTTTTCTAATGGCATCGTTGTACACATCTAGGTCCATTAATACCTGAGTCTTGGTTTTATAGAGGTGTAGACTTATCATGTAAGAAGTCCCTATAAAAAGCCTGACATCATGTCGGTACCCGGAAAAAACAAAGCAGAGCTTTCAATACTTTGTGTTACGTATTTAGCGTTTGAACTGTTTTGTACATGAAACGTGTTTGTCTTACAGCATCCACCATGGGTGCCAGGCTCCTGTTGGAGTACATGGGGGTTTTTAAAGATGTTTTTAGTGACGGTGGGGTCTTAAAATTGCTTTTCTTGGCCCTGACAGCGACGACAGTCTCTCCTCGTCCAGCTAGCTCTAGTCATCCCCTGTGTAGTAAACATCATGTTAGATTTCTCAAGGGACCCTCCAGGGGCTTAGAGAGTTGCTCCTGGGGCGTGCTGGCCCTGAATCTTTGGCGAAGAGTGGAAAGTGTTGCTACCTTTCCATTAATACCCGTTTCTTTCTGTGCAAAGTGTATGTCCATAGATGTTGTGTTGGTTTTCATGCCAGACCCCATTATATTACGCATTGGATTAGAGAAAATTAATATTAGGAGCTGTAAGCTTAAGGTCGTGACTTAGCTTTTTGTTGCTGTGAAAACACCCAGGAGTCGGCCCTGGTGGCAGAGGTCTGTCATCCCAGCTGCTCAGGAGGCTGAGACGAGATGACAAGTTCGAAGCCTGCCTGCGTAGCTGAAGGGTGGACTCAAGGGCACTCTGAGTGAATGAGGGACACTGGGGATATGGTACAGGGACATCGTGCTTGCCTGTCATGCATGGAATTCAGATCCCTATACTGAGGGGTAGGGGATGATAGGGCACAGATTCAGACACATTTTTAACTGCCCTGAGCCTGGGTTTCTTCCCTTTTAAGGTAATGGTGTGGATTTCTACCTCATTACTTACCATGAAAATTGCACAACTCTGGGTCCCTGTACTTGGCTCTCTAGCAGCACCAAAAATATCGCCTGGGTTTTTATGGTTGGTTTTAGACAGGATATCATTCTGTAACTTGGCTGGCATCAAACTCGGAGACCTGCCTGCTTCTACATCCTCAGTGTTGGGGCTATGGGCACGCGCTAACACATCCCACCATGTCAAGGAGTACTCAGTGAACACAGAAACATGCGTGTACATGTATGTTCTTGTGTACCTGTCAATTCTATAATTGCTGGCTCTGGATTATAGATTGATAAACTCATTTAAAGAGTCTGTAACTGAAAATATCTACAGGAGCAGTGTTTAATCTTGACATTTGTAAGCTGCCCATTCACAGCTCTGTTTTTAAAACATTCATCCTAGAATCTTTTTTTGTTTCATAATCGCCCATCATTTGCCCACTTTTAAGTAGGTCATTGGCAAGTAGACAATTGTACACCCTAGTTTGGTTGACTTCCAAACCTACTGAGGGTACATGACGACACAGCCAGAATTGGAAATTTGCAAGCCATATGTGAAGTCACCCATCTAGAAAATACTTTTATATAATGCTTTTCCAAAGTGAACGTTGTTTGGTATCACCCCTTTCCTGGTTTGCATCAATTCTGAGAGTATCTGTTGTCTCCTTTCTGAAGGGAATAAGACTGCCACCCCAGGATTTTTATTTTAGTTCTGGAGTCTTCTGTTTGCTTTTCTTTAGAGGATATTTTTTATGAATCTCACAGGAAAGCACTTTCTCTGGAGTAGGTTAGAGTCCGTTGACAGTCCTGGGTGGATTCCTGGTGTTTACAATGCCGGTCATTGGGCTGGGTGCTAGGAACGCAACAGTGAACAGGACCCCCGTTCCTCCTGTCCGGAAACAAATGCCTCACCTTTCCGAGCTTCCCACAGTTCTACAGACTTTAAATCGATGTAGCCGTCGAACATGTGCAAAATGTCATTCCATTTGGTGTGTATACTGACACCGTTCATAGAACATATTTTCAAAGGTAACCACTACAGGTTTTCTTCTGTTGTGGTGACATTCAGTGGTATTAAAATCAACTAGCAAGATGACTTAGCAGGTAAAGGGCACATGGCAACAAGCCCCAGTTTGATTCCCCAGGAATCACATGGAAAAAGAAATGACTACAAATTGTCCTTTGACACCAACATGATGCTGTGGCATGCCCATATGCACACAGTAAGTGTGGTGAAGCTTATGAAGACAGGTCAGATACTAAAGTAACCTACCCGTCTTGCTTAATTCTAGAACCTGTCCCCAAACAGAAACCCACTGCCAAAGCATCATGAACAACTGTAGCCGATCCAATGGCTGTCTCTTCACAAGTTTCAAAATTCAGTGACCAGGAAAAGCCCCACAGTACCAAAGCCCATGCAGTTTGGGGGCCAAAACCAGCTGTGAGGGCGGTCACCTGTGCTTGGAGATGTTGCTGGACTTCTGCCTCTGGTACTTCCTTTCCCAGACAGTCTTAGCTTCTTGGATTCCAGTTCTACCTCTTGCCCTCGCAAACTCTGCTGGTGGTTGAATAATTTTCCTTGGTTTCTCCAGTTGAAACGTATTTGAGGCCTGAGAGATGGCTCAGTGGTTAAGGATACTGACTGCTTTTCCAGAGAACACAGGTTCAATCCCAGCAAGTTCCTAGATGGCCAGGGCTATACAGAGAAAAACCCTGTCTGGAAACAGTAGCAAAAAAAATTGATTCCCTGATCAGTTTCTATCATTATTATTTTTATCATTATTATTTTTTTTAAATAGCTTTAAAATCAGAAGTGACATGAAGGATTATTGACCTTAAACAGAATGTCAAAAATAGAAGTTGGGCTATTTACATTTAGTTTAATTGAGCATGTGAGTACTGTTACTTCTAAATCCACGAATGCTTCTGCTGTTGTGACCTTGCTGTAGTCTCTCAGCCAACAGGAAATGCTCTGGGGCAGCAGGCACTAGCTTAAACAAGATTGTATTTGAGGTCTGAGTATCCTCTTCAAACAGAGGGATGAAAAGCAAAAGATGAATTCATTTTGGATACTCAACAATTCATCATTTTCCCCAGACTTACGTGAGTCAGGAGAGAGTAGAAGCTCTTGGGTACCTACCTTCAAAATGTACAGGCGCTGGGTGGTGGTAGTGCACGTCCTTATTCCCAGCACTCTGGAGGTAGAGGCAGGCCAGTCTCTGTAGGCCAGCCTGTAGTCCAAGTTCCAGGACAGCCAGGGCTACACGGAGAAGCCCTATATCGAGAGTACAGAATGCCATTTAAACTTCGGTGTTGGTGGTGCGTAGGCTGCAGCTGGGCTATGTGCTAGCACAGCTGGCATCCCTGGTTTCCGTACAGCCTAGTTGCCCACATTATGAGCTAGCTACTACTATTCACATTTATTTCAGGGTCCCCCCCCACCGTCTGGATCACCACACCACTCACAACCCTTTGTTGTAGATAGGGTTTCATGTAGCCCAGGCTAACTCCAAATGTAGTGTGTGGCTGGGGTGGAGTTTGCACTCCAATCTTTGTCCTGTGCATCTCAATTATACCCAGCCTGAAGTAAGTGCATTAGGGTCGCATAAGCGAGTGGTTCTCAGCCTCCCTACTGCTGAGACCATTTAATACGCTTCCTCTTGTGGTGATCCCCAACCGTAAAATTATTTCCATTGCTACTTCATAACTGTAGTCTTGCTGCTGTTATGGATCATAATATAAATATCTGTGTTTTCTGGTGGTCTCAGGCAACCCCTGTGAAAGTTGTTTGGCCCCAAAGGGGTTGAGGCCCATAGGTTGAGAAACCAGTGGTACACAAAGCTTTGGCTCTTTCTAAAACTGTGGCACAAATAGTTAAGATTTAGATTTGTTGTTTTCAAGTTTGCCATACATGATTACCTTCCAGTGTGCGGCCCAGCCTTATTCCACGGCAAGCGAAATTTCAGAAAGCCTCTATACTGCTGAATCTGAAATTGTTGAAACTGGTATTTTTCTTTCTATAAGTTAACTTTGAAAGTATTTGTATACGTGACAAAATTCAGTGTGTAATTGAAAGCCGGGGCCTTGGTCCAAGAGTTCTGGTCTGAGTTCTGGTTCTGCCACTGAGTGGGTGGTGTTGGGCAAATTACTTTCCGGATTTAACAGACCTCCCCGTGAAGTGGGATAATAACGTGGGGAGTGAGACAAGGTATATCTCTATTACTTTAGGCTTGTAGTACAGTAGATCCCGAGGGCATGAAATAATGTCCCACAACAGCCAGGAATTACTGTGGTGATATCTTACTTGTACAAATAAAGCCTGTCTGAGGGTCAGAGAATGGAGCTTGCCACTAGCTAACCATAGAGGTCTGGAGGTCTGTACAGACAGACAGGAAGTGAGATGGCTGGGCAGAAACAGGAAGTGGCACGGCTGGACCCAGAAGGGAAGCGAGACGACTGGGCGGAGAGGAGAGAGGAGCTCGCTCTCTTGTCTGGAGACACTAAGGAGGTGAGGTGTGGCTTTGGCGTGCCTTCCTTCTGATCTCTCAGACAGGCTTATTGTCACCACAAAGGACAAGGAGGGGGTGGCTTCCGATGTCCTCTTCAAGGATATGCTCTGGTGACACAACTTCCCGCCACCAACTCCAGTCCCTAGAGCTTCCTCCACTCCCAAGAGCACTATCGCTGAGCAACCCTTTAATCTGGGAATCTTTAGGGGACATCTCGGGTCTGAACTATATTCCACAGCTAGAGCATAGAAACCGCCCGCCTCTCCAAAGGTCCCTGGTTTGAAAAGTGGTTAGATTCAGGCAAGGCCCCTTGGTAGAACCTGCGCAGCTTCCTATCTTCCCTTCCCTCTTTCTTTCTTTCTTTCTTTCTTTCTTCCTTCCTTCCTTCCTTCCTTCCTTCCTTCCTTCCTTTCCTTCTGAAGAAGGGGAATCAAATGCATCATAGATACACACATGCATGCATGTGCTCACACATGTACACACACTCTCTGTCTTTTGCCATATGAGGCCTGACTCTATAGAGCCATAGTTTTTGGTGCCCAAGCAATTCATT